GAGCAAAATTGAATCAGCGCCCTCTGTGCGTCGGTATTTCAGCCAAGACTTTTTTCAATGAAAATATTGTGTGCAGCGAGGTGAGATTCAATCAGCCTCTTAGCAGGGGCAAAGTTAATACACACAATATTAATCCCAACCCACACTTCAAAGGGTTGAGATGAAATCCGTCTTTGCTTTTTAACGGCCAAAGCCCCATATTTGCGACCTGTCACAGGAATTCAAATTCACAGCTCGATAGCAAATTGAGAGCTCCGGTCTGATTGCATTTATAAACTTTTCCAATTAAGAGGCGCACCTGATGTGTGGGCACGGACGTTGTGTAATACAAAGTGCTGGGGAATCGAATCCGCAACATCTGCTTTAACCGGAAAATGGAATTTGAGAAATTATTATATAGTTTGCCTGGCAGTGCAGAAAACTGTTATCAACTTATTTTTGTTTTCTTTCCACGAATGCTCCCACTTTTTCCGCTTGACGAAATTTATTGAACCCTTCGAGGAAACAAATTTATCGCAGCGACACTAAATTGTAACTGGAACGTAAAAAATTGTCTTTTGGGAAAGTATTTTCATATATAATAAATATTTATTTTTATTTTATTTGTGCGCCTGTTTCCTTAGCCTTTCTGGGAAATTACAAATTAATATCGTTTTGCTCATTTCGTTGCTCAATAAAAAAGCTCCAGTTTTTTCCTAGCTTATTGTTGCACTGACAATCATGGCAAAAGCACAAAGCACAGATTGTCAACGTGAAAGAAAAATAGCCACAGGGATAAATATATGAGGCTAGACGCGGTTATAAATAATCAAAAGCCGTGCAGGAGAGTTTGAAAAATAAACTATCAAAGTTATTGCAGCAGTTTTTATTAGAAATGAAAAACTTTCTATGTAGAATACTTTCTTTTTTAATATTTCAAATTAAAAAATATTATTAAAAAAGTAAATATTAATAGAATTAACATTTTATTTATAGTTTTCGCAAAGATTCTTGTTACAGTGGTAACGTTTTGTCCAAAAATGCCTTTTCTACAGTTTAATGTAAAAAAATTTAATAATTTGGATAAATAAACAATTATTATATTAATTTATTAACTTAAATTGCAAATCGTTATATTAAAATTGTTTATCTAATTATTTATTAATATTTAACACAAAATATTTTAAATTTACTCCATTTCCTACTGTTATTCGGTGAACGTCAGGACTGAATTTAACTTGCTCTGTGAAACGAATATGACTAATTAATTTATTACACATAAATATTTCAACAACCAAATATTTGTTTTAATCTAAAAAATCCGCTATAAATTTCACTGAAAGTCAAGGAAATTATTTTTCCTCCTTCAAATTTGTCTTTGCTACATCAATCAAGCGTAATCGAGGAAGCGATGCGCTCTCCAAGTTGACAAAGATGCAGCGGCAGGAAAAAAAATGGATTTCGCACCACCATTTATCATCGGCTAACAAAAGTCAAGACTTTTATACGTTTAACGAGGCCATTTGTGTGGTGAAGAAGAAGAAAACGGATCCGCGCCACACCCTGTGCAGTTTCGAAATTCGCAATTAACCAAGGGGATCCGGTTGCACTTTGATAATCCCAGGCTTACATTAAACGAGCCTTTCAAATAATGAGCGATCCATTTGCGCCGCGAGACGCAATTAGGTCTAGACGAAAGTGGATTTTTCCTCAAATCCCTTTCCCAAGGTTCTGGGAATTAATTTTTGCCTCGAGTAGACATCAAAGGCCTGCTCCGTTGAGTGCCCATTGAGACCGAATTTATCGCTCCAATCAGGCCGCGGCCAAAATGGCAACGTAGCCTGCAATTTCATGCATAATTAATGGCCTTCGAGTTGAGTGGCGCCGAGAGAAGGGGCGAACTCCTTTTTTTTTCATTTCAAATTTCTCTCAAACAATTTCTAAATTTCTTATTGTTTTCATTATTCCGTTTGGCTGATTTTCTACAATTTCCTAATTGAGATATATTAATTTGCTGCTTTAATTTATGCAAGAGTTCAGCGTACCGTGGCAATATTCAAATTTTGTGGGATGCTTTGGCAGTATTTTGCGTCTCGTTGCAAAATAATTTTCTTGCTTGTGAGGCATATTATCATTTTGGAAGAATTAATTAAGGAAGATTTTCAAAAGTTTGTGCATTTCAAAAGTTTTTGGAAACTTTTGGAATTCTTGCTGTAAATTTCGCTCAAATAGTTTTAATCGTGAGAGTAACTTTAATAAATTTACGAGTAGTAAAAATTAATTTTACTAAAAATTCAATATAAAGAAAGCCAGGAATTAAGGAAAGAAAAATCCAAGCATGCTTTGGGGTTGAGGCAGAGAAGGGAGAAAAAATCACTTGCCTTGTGAATTAAGCAGAAGGAAAGGGAACGAGAGGGTTTGCAGAAGAAATTGAACAAAAGAGCAACCAAAACCATAGAATCGCAGCAGGATGAGCAATAAAGGAAGCGTCCAGCACGAAAGTGGCGATGAATAACAAATGACATCCCCACGTAGAGAATTTTTTTTAAATAATTTTGTTCTTTCTCAACCGAGAAAGATCAATCCGATCAATCTCAAACTAAACTGATGTGGAATCTGTGTGAAAATAAATTTTAAATCTTTCTTGTAAATATCGTCAAGAAATAAAATCTTGTTGCATCTTTGTAACCAAGTTTAACCAATGAAAATTAATTTCAGATTGAAATAAATGTTGAATTTTCCTTCAAAATAATTCCCTGTTTACTGAGTAAATATTAAAATGCGAAATTAAAATTCAACAGAGAACAAGTTTAGTAATTTTATTCAGTTCCATTGTTTCATTTCAATTTGTGCGTGTTTTGCCGTTTTTGCAGCAATATTTGGCGAAGAACAAAAGCAGGAATGTCGGCGAAAAAGCAGAATTGTAATTAAAACGCTGTTTCGGAGCGAAATAATACGATATTTGCATTTCACACACAGCTGGTGTCTCGGGGAGCGACGAGCTCTGTTTGTTCTTGAGCACACAATTGTGTCTGAGATGCACATGGCGAGCAAAGCAGGTCATCACACATTCACAAAAGCGGCTTCGAGTTTTGCTCTCGCACTTTTCTTTCTACCGAGAGAGAGGCAAAGAGGATTATTTTTAAGCGGCACCTCCGCGAAATTATTGTGAACGTCGGCGCCGCGCTTACTGGCAAACACAGAAACACACCATTTCCCTCCGGCTCAAAATTACGACTTAATATGAAAAAAAATGACACGTTTTTATACCTAATTCCAGCTGGGATAGAAACTGTGGAAGTCAGTGGGGAATCGCGGTGTAATTAATAATGGAGAATGAAAAGGTTGGAAAATCTTTCAAGCGTAATTTGCTTTATTATAAGAAAAAAAAACTGCAAAGCTTCACGTATATTGAATAATAAATTGTTTTGTGAAGTAAAAAGTATTAAATTTTCAAAGTATCAGTTTTTTATTAATTTTATAAGAGAAAATCAATTCAGATATTAAATTCCATAAATATAAAAGTAATGGAGCGCAAAAATAATTTTTTAATAAAAATAAAATGTTCTTTTCAATCCTTCTTTGGTGATCTAAAATTTGATTTCTATAGATTTTAATCAAATATCATTAATTTCAGTAATATTTATAATTCTAACAGATTAATTATTTGATAAAGTTTGGCCACCTTTAAAGTAGATGAAACCTTCTGCAAAATGTTTTTCAAATCCTTCAAATTTTAATGGAATACAATAAAACATACTCAATTTGTTTCAAATATGACGAAAAAAGTATCATTTTCTAATTTTTAACTCATCCGAACGGAATATTTTCAGTCGTTCGGACCCTGTTTATAACTCAATAATATTTTCTAAACGGCTTGTTCAAACATTTTGAAAATTTGTATTCGGATGCAAAATGACACGGCGCATCTAATGGCTATCTTGGATTTTTTGTCCGGTTGCCTATTTTCAAGGGGCATAAAACTTTATATTTTGACCTTTGGCCAGGGTCAATGACCTTTGACCTAGAAACTTGCTGACCATTGAGAAAAGATACCTTGGTTCATTAACTCCAACTTCCTTTCAAGGAAATTAAAAAATCTTCAGCCAAATTAATTTGGCAGCAGTTTTAATAAACCCTTATGTTTCTCCGGCGGCCATATTGGATTTTGAAAAATATGAAAAAATTTCATTACTGGAGAATTGTAGGAACCAAAGTATGAACTATCATGTTATTTGATTATAGAAATCAATAAATTCTAAGCGCTCTAAAATTGGATTGATTTTCTCCGAAACGAGAAAAATGCAAAAAACCACGTTTTTTAACATTCAATTAAACTTTTCTCAAAAATTTATGGGGTGACCCCCAAATTTCTGGTGCCAAATCTGTAGCAGGGTTATCAAGGAACATGCTGGTGGGTCACACACCTTTGCCAAAGTTAGTTTCGTTTACTTTAAATGGGATTGAATGATTTTCATAAAAATTGTCCATAAGCGAACCATGTTAAATTCAAACGCGTTTTTCTCAAAAATTTATGGGGTGACCCCCAATTTTCTGGTTATCAAAATGATCCTTATGGCCTAAACTATCAGTTTCTGTGGAGGATATTGCTGCCCTAAGGTGGTACCATCCTCTTTAAATTAAGAAGTAATTGACTTGAAACAATAATTCAAACGATTTTAAGAGGCTGATGGGGACCAAACTAGTTTTTATGTGTTTAATTTTCAGCTATATAAGAAAAAAAAGGTAAAATTATTTTGATAAAACTTCTTTACACTTTTTTTGACAACGTTTGAGAATTCTTTTGAGGAAAGAAAGTTTTTTTGCACACGACCTTTGAAATTGCTAATTTGCAACAAGTGAAGAAACTGAACTGGGCGGGTTGTTTGCCCAGAATGTCTTCTTGGCACTTAGGCGAGGTCACGTGCAAGTACGACAATGTGCGTAAAACTCGATTACAACTTTGAAGTACCCACACTACTTGTAATCAGGTTAGGCCAAAATTTCGCGCTGGAACTCACCGAGAGGGGATCGAGACGCCGAACCGCTGGACGCACACCAACCTCCTGTCAGAGGTTGTTTGTTTTTCGTTAGGTCTTCTTGCTCCTCGAGAGGGTCAAACACACACGGAGAAAAGAGGCGAGCAGCAACGGCGACGGCACCAAAGCACAGAGTGCAGCTTCCTTGTGCCGACGGATGCTGTGCCGCCACGCGCCGCATCCTTCGGGGGATTCTGCGCGCTCGCCCCGGCGCCTATGCATTGTGTGTGTTTTGAGGCAGAACCCCAGCGGCTCGTCCCGCACTCCATCAAAAAACGCACGACCATGCTCAAGCGTTGTTGGCTTCATTGATTTTTCCAGAGAAATTGAAGAAGAATAAATTAAAATAGAAATTTCCATTTACAATTTTTAATTGAGAAGATTTAATTTTTTGTAAAATAAAAACAGAGAGGTGGCCTCTTTGAAATCTGTGGAGGATCTGCTATTATCGGACTCGCAGATCAATTTGATCACCAATTCTGTTTTCTTTAGTTTTACTTTTTTTGGCTCATTTCGCCTAAAATCGCGTGGTATTTTTTAAATTTGTAGGTCAAATTAATTTTTCCAATTCGTTATATTATCCAAATGCAGTACGTTTTAGAAATTATGTTCAATATTAACTTGATTTATAAAATTGTAAAATGGTGAATAACATGTTAGTAGTGTGAATTATTGATTATTATGAAGTTAATTTTATAATTAATCATTACACAGAGAAACATAAAATTTGAACAGATTGTTTTCAAAAATTGAATGTAAACAATGTGATATGAAACAATTTGACAAATAAAGAACAATAATATAGTAATAACAGTAACACTAACAATAGTATTGATAATAATAATAAAATTATTTTAATAACAATTTAATAATAATAAATTGTTCAAAATTTCAAATGAGTAATAATAATAATAAAAGACATTTAATTACACTCTGCGCAACTATAATTTTGTTTTATATTTAACAATAATAAACAAGAACATATCAAGGAGAAAATATAATTATGATATTATAAAGAATAAAATTGATTTTGATCATTAATTTGCTCTGTGGGCTCTGTGCTTATAAATTTAAAAGAAATCAATTATATCTATAAAAATTAAAAATAATGATAAAATATGAATAATGAATTAAGTTATACTTGAGATATTTCAATCAAAATTTTTATCAGTTTTTAATTTCAACCCATTTTTTTCTAATGAATATTGATTAAAACTAAAAATAAATTGCAAAACCCTAGGGCAGAACCAACGTTGACCTACATTATTGAGCTATGCTTGTGATAAAAACATGGAAACGCGATGAAACAACGCTCAAGAAAAACAAACTTTTGCATTTATTGCTGTGTGGCCTGCAGGTAACTTTTGCAGTTGCGCGGCCACAAGGCTAGAAAATGTTCTCGTCTTTGCTCTTTGCCGCTTGATTAGCAACGACGGCCTTTTGTGTTCAGACCGTGCTGGGCATTTGTCACCGTCAACTTGAAACTTTTACCGAACGCAGACCAGAGAATATTGTTCTGCGCGACGAGAGAACGACTTTGAAGTGTGGCAGCTAATTTAATTAGTCGCCTAGGTGACACGAGTGGGGTGGGCTGAGGGGGGGGGTCACGTTGGCCGATATTACCATCAAAATAATGCTTTTTGCTCGTCAACTTCTGCACATTGGTCACGCGCAATCTGGAGCAAAAACGCGGCTGCTTCCCTGCGAGTTGCAAAAAGAAAAATAATTAAGCAAATTCAATCCTTTTTACGTTTTATTCCTTGATTCTTGTACAAAGAGGAACTAATGTAGTACTGGTTTTTAATTATATCTTAATTTGATTAAAACTGCATCAAAAATTATTTGATTGGTTAAAATTTGAACTTTGTGCTTCTAACATTTTGATCAACAGATCAACCAATAAATAATAAAAAAAAAATTGAGCCATAAAAAGATCCGCACTCATAATTAGAGGGGAGGTGATTTTTTCCTTTTTCAAGCAAACCAAAATTGTTTATTATTTTAGTTATTTTGATAATTTTCATTTTATTTTTAGTTAATTAATTCAATGAAAATTATAAAAAATTTCAATTACTCTATTTTCAATCCTTGATCGCCAAATCATATCCAGTCAAGCTTGAATGTTGAAAGTAAGATAATTATCTGATTCTAATTTTGATGTTTGAAGTTCTCGTCGAGTTTGTTTTCCGCGTCAGTTGCACATCTTTTGATGCGGTTCCACTTTACTTTTGATAACAAAACTTGTTTGTAACGCGAGAAGAACGGGGTGATAATGGAATCACTGGTCGACCAACTTTTGGCCATCGGGCTTGGTGCAATTTTAAATAATTTGCCGGCAGAGACTCTTGCGGCGAAATTGGATCGCGCCGGCTTTGCCCCCGCACGGAAAGATGACCCTTGGGGCACCCTCGGCTCGCAAATTTCCTTCTGGAAACACAAAGCAAAAAGAGACTTTTCTCTCTTTCGCCGCGGACAAGGAACAACTAAGCCCTCAAAAGACTCCTCCTCGGCCTCACGTCGCTTTCGGTGAAGAACCCATTTTAGGTTCGGAAAATATGACATTACGAAAAAGGGCATGTAACATTCAAGAAATACAATAGGGGCCGCTGTAATGGGCTTAAAATTTAGTTTAGATATGAATTCTCAGAGAAAATCCGAGTCTCATGGTTGGTTGTCCAAGGAATTTGAACGAAATCGGGCTGAATTGGAAACTAACCTTTGAAATGATGATGAAGAGGGTTTGGCAGCATCTTGCCTTACATCAGGACGGGATTTCACTAAGATTTTTCTGATAAATCCCTCATTTTTGGACCGATTTCGGGACTTGAGTGAAGTCAAGACATCACGCGACACGCGGTAAACAAAACGTGACCCCGGGCCGGCGACTCCGCCCCCTCAAGCGCTCTCTGATTTTGGCAACAAAAAAAGGCGCGATCGCCACATGCACTGATCAACGGCAAATAAATGATTGATTGTTTCCCCGAAGAAATTAATTAATTAAAAGGACAAAGGACTCCGGCATAGTCAATTCAAGTCTTTACAATAATACTTTTTGTTTTTAATTTTTAACTGTCTTCCAATAATTGCTAAAAATGGTTGGTGATTTGACCAAAATAATATGACAATGTCAAATATCAATAAGTCCTTATTTTATCATCTCCATTATTAGTTGCAAATGATGTTTATTTGTGTACTTTTTTTTACCGTAAATCGAGATACTTTATAAAAATATTCAAAGTTATACGAAAAGAAGACTACAACAATTGGAGAGAAAAAAATCACATTACATGTTCTGAAAAAGCTTTTCAAAGAAAAAAATCTAGAAAATAAACTCAAACATTATTATTTTTCTTTGTGAAACATAAATTTTAAAATCTCAATATTACTTTGGGAAAAAACTTTGTTTTCATAACTGACACTATAAAGCACTAAATTCACTTCTTTTGTCTCTCAAGACTTCTTGTTGGCATAATAGTCCATTGTATGGGTTTGTTCCCTTATTTATTTTTATTATGAATCAACTTATTTGGCAAAGCAGTTTGGGGGCCAGCAATTCTTAAAAATAATTTATCCCTTTTGATTTGTTGGTCAGATTTTGCTTGAAATGAAATGATCGCCGGCGCCACCGCACCGGTCGCCAGAGGCGCCATTCATCATATGGAAAAAATTCTTTTGGCAGAAATTCAACGAAATTTTCTTCGCGATGGGTGCTTTCATTCGACATGCGCACGTTTTTTGCGTTGCTTTTCCGTGCCAAGTGATATACGACGGCTTGAGCATTAAATTTTCTCTGCATCCGTTATTCCGACGACGATAAGCCCACGTGTGTGTGCATTTATTTTTTATCAAAACCTTGTCTAAAAGTACAGCCCAGAGAGGAAGGGACAGTGCTTTTTACCAACTCTCGTGCTCAATTTGCAATTTGTCAAATATATTCACGCAGAGTGGTGCCGCGGAATTTCTGTTGAATATTGTGTCAGACAAAAAGCTTTGCTGCTCTTTGAAAGAGAGAAAAAGACACGCGCCCGTGGTTCGCACGTGTTCCTGATGGCAAAAAAATGCTAATAAATTTCAGCCTGGATTTCTGACAAAAAGGAGTCGTGTTTTTTACGGTAAAAAAAGCTTTTTTGTTTAAAAGGGTAATTTTTATTTTAATGAGAGGGTCATTCAGAATGAGATAAAAGCGTGATGAAAAGCTTGTTCATATATATATATATATATATATATATGTAGACAATTCCAAATTCATGTTGAAATGAAAGTTTTACAATATTTTTATCCCCTTTTGATTAATTTCAGATCAAATTGATTTAAAATTCATTTACAAAATTTTATTTTATGAATATAAAAAAGGGATTGTATTATATTTTTAGAAAACAATGACATATATTTAATATAACATGAACTGTGGTAATTTAGCAGCTTTTACGTCAAATAGATCTTTTCAATATATGCATCTTTCACACAAAGCACTTAAATAAGATTTTTAAATCATACTCTTATTGAATTTACACTTTATTATTAAACTTTTCACTTTAAAAATACAGTAGATAATTATTTAAGATGACCAGCTTAAATTTTCTTAATTTAACATAAATCGGCTGTTTAAACAAAATTAAAGACTGAATTAAAAAAAAAAAAATAATAATTACAGTTATAAAGTTTATTTAATCTAAAAACTGTGTATAAATTTTAAGATTTGTTTAACAATAAATTTAATTAACTTTTTGTGGTAGAATTTACGATCAAGGTGATTTGAAATTAAAGTCGGCTTTTCCTCAATGGGTTTTGAGAGTTGTTAATTGTTCATGAAAGATTTTTCTTAAACAATAAACAACTCAAAAAATCCATCAAGGAAAAGGCAACCTTAAATTCAAATCACAATATATTTAATGAGCACCTTTAATCTAAATTTTTTTCTGTCGCAAAACAATTTACTGCTGAACTGGACTGGAAAACGTCGTCGGGGAAAAAACTATCAAATATTGCGCTTGGATTTACTTAATTGCTTTCAATATGTTTTCTCTAAGAAGTGTAATTTCCCAACAACAGCCGCTGATTATCCTCA